AGATAAGGAGCTCTGGTGGTGTAGTGCCTAAGGCATTTGACTGCTAACCAGAAGGTTGGTGGTTCAAACCTACTAGCCACTCCACAGAAGGAAGTAGGCAATCTACTTCTGTTAAGATTTGCCACCTCAGAAACCCAAAAGGGGTCGCTATGAGTTGGAATTGACTTGATGGCAGTGAGTTTGGTTTGGTTTTGTGAAATCAGGGATGGTTAGTAGTCTGGATTTATAAGTGGATAAAAGGATTTGCAGATGATTGATCATTGAGTTCATGGGTGGATAAACAGAAGCATGAGAGTTTGTGGATGGATGGATGGATGATGTTGTAAGTTCATGATGGCTGCAGGAAAAGATGCAGCAGTTCTTGAACATGTTGGTTGAAGATCTGGTTCTTGGATAAGATGTATGCAAGGATGGATAGGCAAGTGGGAGAATGAACATGTGAATGGATTCATGGATAGACTACAAATGCGTTGGCAGGAGACCTGATTAATGAATGAGTGGATGGATAATTCAAGAATGGGTTAGTAGAAGACCTCATTCATGGATAGATCTGTGTAACAATTGATGAGTGGACCATGATGGTTGGATTCATGGATGGATTATGAATGCTTTGGCAAAAGATCTGATTCATGGATGCACATGGATGGATGAATAGGTAGGTGGATGGATATATTCATGGATGGATGGGTGAAAGAGGAAAGAAAGAAATATCTCTCCCCACCCGCATTCCTTCTCTAACTCACGGGTTGGTCTTCCTGGTGGACGTGGCCTGTGAGCAATCACTCCTTAGGGATCCCAGGTCAGGTGTCTGATGGAGCAAAATCTTCTTAAGATTTTCTGTGGACAAAGGCAGCTCCTGCAAGAACGATGACTGACCCCTTGAAGACAAACAGGCCACAAGTGGCATGAGTAGTCGGGTTCCCTACTCCTGGAACGTCTGTGGCAACCCTCTCCCCATGAAAGAGATGACTGACACTTACTGCAGGTCTGGGAGGCATGAGAAGTTAGAACACTGAGAAGAACCCTGGCAGTGCTGTGACACACCCACTCGATGTAGTGATGCTGAGGATGCTGGGAGCCAGGAGGAGGCAGAAATAGTTAGGAGCCCTCTAGCTGCAGGACAGCCCTTACTAGGCTCTTAGTTATACAGCGTTGGGCCTCAGTTTCGTCATCCATAAAATGGGGGCAATAGCAGAGCAGTCCTCAAGGGGTAGTTGTGAGGACTGTATAAGGTGATACTCAACTAACATTAGCAGTATTGTCAGCAATGGGGTGGAGCACTGCAGGGACCGTCAGCCCAACCCCCCAGCAGAAATGATTCGGCCTGGCCCTTACTCCGCCTCGCCGCCTGGGGCCCTGGAGAGGCCTCAGTCCGTCGCTTCAGCGGCTGCTCGGCACTCTCCAACCCGAGCTGACACAGGAACTCACGAAACCTGCTGGGGAGGAACTCTTGTAGCAGCGCCCCCAAGGAGCTCGGGGCCTCCCTAGCCAAGCCCTTCCGGTGGTCCTTCCTCTCTCCAGGCGCTGGACGCCGGGACGCCGAAGGACTCCGGGGGGCGGCGGCCGAGGGCACGGGTGGCAGCAGCAGGGAGCTTAGCACCGCTCGGTTGTGCGCCACCCGCCGGGCCACCGTGGCCAGGGCAGGCAGGCGCGGCGCGGGGCTCTTGACTTCTACCCCAGGGTCTGTGGCCTGGTGCGCCCGTATGTCCGGGAGCTCCTGTCCGGGGGCCTGCCCCCACGCGGCCCCCAATCCCGGGCCCCTTGAGCCCCCCGCGCCAGGCTGCGGAGGGGCCACTCGTAGCTCGGGCAGGGTCAGCCAGGGCAGCAGAGGGTCTCTCCTCATTCGGCGAGCTCCATCACTGGGAAGCCCCTTGGGCGCCACCTCCTGGGCCCCCAGCTTGAGGTGACGCTGAAACATGTCTGGCCCTGCTCTCAGCTCTGGGCATCCTCAGGCCAGCGAGGGGTGGGGAGTGCCGCGTCAGGTGGGAGGAGGGCGTAGACAGAGTAGCCCGCAGGCCATAGTGCCTAGAGGCAGGCGGTGCGGGTTTGGGGGTTAACAACACTGGACCCGCAGACAGTGGCCCCAGGCTAGGGCTTGGCGAGCCTCTGTTTCCTCATTTGAACAATGATGACGGTGAGAGTGCCCATGTTTTGGGTTGCTGTGACGTTTCAATGAGCCAAGACGGCAATCGCTTAGAACAGCATTAGGCACATTGTAAGTGCTCAGTAAAGACTAGCTGCTATTCTTACTATTTTAAAATTATTATTATTTAGGAGTTGGTCGCAGCTCCACTACTTATTAGCTGGGTCACTTTGGGCGAGCCAATGAATTGATTTATCTCAGTGTTTTCTCTCTGTAGAATAGGAATGATAGAAGGGTTGCCTCTTTGTTAGAGTGAAATAGCACTTACTGGTGTGTTCACATTGTGGAGGCTATTACTGTTATTAAGGAGCTCTGGTGGCACCGTGGTTAAGGCATTGGGCTGCTACCAAAAATGTCGGCGGTTTGAACCCCACCAGTCACTCAACAGGAGAAAGATGAAGCAGTGTGCTTCCATGAAGATTTACATGGGTTTGGTATTACTGTTATTAGCCTTCTTCAGTGAGTTAGGAAACCTGAGACCAGCTTGCAAAGGAGAACGCAATTTGACCTGCAGTTCATCAATCCTGGTGGTGTCTTAGAATCCCCAGGAGGGGAGCTTGTCGAAAATACAGAAGACTGTCCCCACCTCCCGCTCCAGATTTTGACTCAGTAGATCTGGGGTGGGGCCAAAACATATTTTTAACAAACTACCTCCTTTGGGAACCAAGGCCTCAGCTCCGCCCCCAGCTCTGACATTGGGGATCTTCAAGCCTGCTTCCTCCTCGCCACACCCCATCCCAAGATTGTTTCAGCTCAGAGCTGGCTCCTGGTGTCACACTCACCCTGGTGGGATTTCTGGATGGGGCCTGAGAAGGTCCCAAGAGTTTAGAGCCCACTAACGGGTGGGCTGGTCCCTGAGGGAGCCCATCTTCCCAGCCCTGGTCTGATTGTGGGCCCCTTCCTGCTACCTCCAGGAGTCTTCAGGGTCATTGTGATGCATCCCTCTCACCCATGCCCACCTGAGGAGCAGTGGGCACTGAGACCTGGGGGCAGAGGGTGGTGGGGCTGTTGTGTCCAGGGGACTGAAGGAGCAGGAAGCAGGTGGGACGCGTGACCAGACAGGGAAACAGGAGGCCCAGGTGGGCCTTCCCTAGGCAGGAGCCTGGCTGGGTGGCTCTGAAAGCTGAAATTTTGCTGCAAGGCTCACCAGTGAGGAACTCAGAGGCCTGGAAACCAAGAGATCCAATTTCAAGTGCCTGCTCTGCCTCTGTTTTGCTTGTGACACTGGGCAAGTCCCTCCTTTTCTCTTGAGTTCCAATGTAAAATGGACTCAGATGGGAGGGGGCAGGAAGGAGGCACATACAGTGAAACTCTAATGGGGTTCAAGGGTAGTCTAAACAAGTAATTTCATTGTCATGGCATAGTTTTACAGTTGGGAAATGAAAATAGGACTCTGTAATTCAAATACAGGCCATCTGCCTGGAGGAGGCATCACAAAAGATGTTCTCCATTTTCTGCAAATGTTCCTTAAGCAGGGATGTACAGGCACACCTCCTTGGGGAGTTAGAATCTTGAGTGGGGAGGTAAGAAATCTTGATATTTATTCAAAAGATGTGTGAATTTTTAAAAAATAGAGGAAGAACACCAGACTAATTAGACAATGTCTAAGAAGCCCTCCAGCCCTTGCATTCTGCTCATTTATGAGTAGTTTACTTACTAGGCTTGGAAATTCAAAGAGGCTGTGAGGTCAGGGGACTGGGCAGACCCACAAGGGCCTTGGAGGTCTGGGTGTAGGGAGGGGGCTTTCTCTTCCATTGGCAGGAAAAAATGGTGGGGGTAGATTTTTAGGAAGGAGCCCTGGTGGTGAGTATGGTTAAGCACCCAGCTGTTAACTAAACCCACCCAGCTGCCGTGCAGGACAAAGACCTAGGGGTCTGCTTCCATAAAGACACAGCCAGGAAAACTCTACGGGGAGATACGTTTGTTGGCTTACCCCTCCCTGTCCTTGGGTACTGCCGAGGAAGCATCGTTAAAGACTTTTTTCCCCATTGCCATCATGTCATGTACAAAGTCAGTCTCTTAAAGAGTTCCAACAGCTGTGGAAATTCTTCATCGGAGGGCTGAGCTTTGAAACAACAGGTGAGAGTCTGAGGAGCCATTCTGAGCAAGGGGGCATGCTCAGGGACTGTGTGGTAATGAGGGATTCAAACACCAAGAGCTCCGGAGGCTTTGGGTTTGTCACTTTAAAGCATCTGGCTGCTCACCCAAAAGTTGATGGTTTGAACCCACCAGCTGCTCCGTAGGAGAAAGATGAGACAGTCTGTTTCTGTAAAGCGTTACAGCCTTGGAAACCCTATGGGGCAGTTCTGTTTTGTCCTGAAGTGTCACTATGAGTCAGAACCAACTCAATGGCAGTGGGATGTCTACTGTGGAGGAGGCGGATGGAGCCATGAATGCAAGGCCACACAAGGTGGATGTCTAGGAGAAACCAAAGAGACCTGTCCTCTGAGAAGACTCTCAAAGACCAGGTGCCCATTTAACTGTGGAAATGATCTTTGTTGGTGGCACTAAAGATGACACTGAACATCACCTAAGATTATTTTGAGCAGTATGGGAAAGTTGGGGTGACTGAAATCATGACCAACCAAGGCAAAGGCAAGAAGAGGGGCTTTGGTTTTGTAACTTTTGATGACTGTGACTCTGGAGATAAGATTCTCATTCAGAAATAACTATACTGTGAAGGGCCACAACTGTGAAATGAGGAAAACTCTGTCAAAGCAAGAGCTGGCCAGTGCCTCATTCAGCCAGAGAGGTTGAAGTGATTTGGGACACTTGGGTGCTGGCTGTGGGAGTGGTTTTGGTGGGAGTGATAACTCTGGTCATGGAGGAAACTTAAGTGGGCAAGGGGGCTTTGGTGGCAGCCATGGTGATGGCAGATATGGAGGCAGCGGGCATGGTTGTAACAGATATAATAATGGTAATGTGGGAAGCAGTTCTGGAGGTGGCAGAAGCTATAATGACTTTGGCAATTACAACAATCCGTCTTCAAATTTTGAACCCATGAAGGGAGGAAACTTTGGAGGCAGAACCTCTGGCCCTTATGCGGGTGGAGGTCAGTACTCTGTCAAACCACAAAACCAAGGTGGCCATGGTGGTTCAAGCAGCGGCAGGAGCTATGGCAGTGGCAGAAAGTTTTAATGTCTGCCAGGAAACAAAGCTTAGCAGGAGAGAAGGGCCAGAGAAATGACAGGGAAGCTACAGGTTATAAGAGACTTGTGAACTCAAGCACAATGGTGGCAAGGCCTATAACTGCTACAAAAAAGATATGTTTCAGACAATACTCACGTGTATGGGCAAAAAACTCAAGGACTGTGTTTGTGACGAATTGGATGACAGATTATTTGAGTCTCTGTTGTGTGGAAAGTGTTAAAACTTTCTAACAAAGGGTTTTAATGTTGATTTTTTTTTTTTTGCACCCGTTGTTGATTAGGAGCTCTGGTAGCATAGTGCCTAAGACACTTGACTGCTAACCAGAAGGCCAGGGTTCAAACCCACCAGCCACTCCTCGGAAGGAAGGTTGGGCAATCTACTTCCATAGTGATACCGCCTCAGAAACCCAAGGAGGAGTTGCTATGAGTCTGGTCCGCTTTGATGGCATATAACAACAGCAACAACATGCTGTTGATTGCTAAATGTAATAGTCTGACCATGATGCTGAATAAATGTCATTTAAAAAATGTACTATGTAGGGAAGAGGTAACTACTAGGAGGAAGTGGGAAGAGAACTTTTACGTGGTGAGGAATTGCGGTCAATGTCATGAAATAAAATCGGTATGAACTGCTGTATGGAAAATGAATTTGCTCTGTAAACCCAAATCACAATAATAATAATGAAAATAAAATATGCTGTGTAAAGTTAGTCTACTCTGAAGCCATCTTGATAAACGAGCCTGGACAGTGTGAAGTTTAGAATTACTTCAGGGTGATGCCAGGTTCCATTCAACATTTATTTACAAATTTGGAAGACTGCTTGGGGCCAGAAAAGCCATTGTCTTCAGAAACCTTGGTGTAGTGGAACTGACAGTGTATTGTGACCTAGAGTTCCTCATTAAAATGGTCACCCAAGTAAAGTTACAGAATTTATTTGGTTATAAAAATGATTGTTGGCACATCTATACCATCTATCTAAATTGAATAATGGTACCAGATAAAATTATACATGGGATTGAAACTTATATATTATCCATTATCACATGTGATCAATAAACAATTTAAATCTTCAAGAAGAACAAAACCCTGTGGGGCAGTTCTGCTCTGTCACACAGGGTTGCCATGAGTTGAAATTGACTCCATGACAACAACACAACAACAACAGATTTTTAGGCACCTGAAGAGCTGGGATCAGAACTCTCACCAAAAAAGAAAGTTCAAGGCATCCCAGCAATAGAGATTGCCCATGATCTATCTTCTTCCCTTAGAGACTTGGAGAACAAAGCTTGGAAGAGGGGCCCAGGTCAGGGCAACCAAGTCTGATCTGTTCTGGGCTGGAGAGAATGCCACATAATTTGTACATGAACAGACTTAGGGGCTCAACTGCAGACAGGAGTTTTCAGTGCCCCTGTCCCCTCATTGCTTTCAAGTCTTTAAACACACCTCAGGTACCTCCTCTGTGCGTGGCCCAATTGAAGGCACTGCAAATTCAAAGGCCAAGATGTCAGCTTAGGGAAAATGAGCTTAAAGGCACTTGACTGCTAACCAGAAGGCTGGCAGTTCAAACCCACTAGCCACTCCTCGTAAGGAAGATGGGGAAATCTACTGTAGTGATACTGCCTCAG